TGTGGTCGGCAAAGATAGCCAAAAGTGGTGCATGACCAACAGGCTTTGGCGTTATCATGGTCCAGGGCATTTCAGTTGGGACGAAGTGGAAAACAAACAAATGACGCTGCTGAAGACGTGCCACATGATGAAGCCACCGTGGAAGAAGAAACTCTACTCAGTTTTGAGAAGGGAAACGGTGAAGCTCTTGATGAAGTTACTACCACTGATGTGACTGTTACCGACGATAGGACATTTCCTGATGAAGCAGATGAATCCCACGTGAAGCAGAAGCCAACTAGACGGAGACCAGTACGGAAGAAGATACGTCCCGTAAAATTAAGAGACTTTGTTGAATTGTAATTTTGTGATTGTAATTCTGTACATTTAATTAAGTTATTGTTAATTGTTATTGGTTTATTGTAAGTGGCTATTGTTCGGGACGAACAATACAAAGGAGGGTGAAGTGTTGCGTCAGCGAGGTCACTTGACTAGTGTCACGCCACCTCACGAACCTTCGGGAATAGTCGGGAGATTACTAGATATAGGGTAGACTGGTATATATATATAAGAGGGTGACAACGTGACGGGATAATGTGTGTGTAGGTAGTGAGTAATTGAACTGCAGTCAGAAGTACTGTTGAAGTTAACGTTCGTTGTCAAAACGTTTGTTACAGAGTCACTGTTGAAAATAAGTGTATCGGTAAAGTTATATTCAGAAAGAATAAACCAGTTTTATTAAGTAAGGACATGTGTCGCTAAAGTTTCGTCGGAACGTAGTTACGGAAAGTTAATTAACAAACGGAGACGTAACAGTACAATAAAAAATGTAAAATGTAATGTAAATAATGTACAAGTAATTTGTTTGTTAATTGTTAAATGAATGTATTATTTATACACACCACCCGTACGAAGGACAGGTACACATCTAGTGATTTATAACTTCGTAATAGGACTGTAGCACCAACACAGTAACATTAACAGCATGCAAGGAATTTTTCATTAATTTTTTTAAGTCTTAAATTTATTGAAAATAAAATGAAAGTATCAACTCCTTATTTAATTTTATATCATAGAATGTTTGGAAGCAAATTCTTATAAAGAAAATATCGCAATAAGGCTTGTAACTTACAAGTTAAATAAAATGTTTAAATGTAACTGTTGTTTATAATAATAAATTATGCTAAAGTACTACTACTAGTAGTATTAGTTTAGTACTAGGCCCAATAATTAGCATTGTTAGTGTTACTGTTAGTATTACTATTTGAAACAGATAATTTATAGTTTAGATATAAATTTGCTTATCTTCTGTATGTATGTTATTACTTTTATCCATTTATGAACAATTCTGTAATTACGTAACATTATGATTAACAGTAACATTCAGAATTAGAAACTTCTCGAACCTAAGACTGGTGTAAAGTAATATTTCATTTTTTGGCTTTACACACACGTTTTTAACACATTACAATTTTTGTGTTCACTTCAGAATCTGGAGTCTTTATACATTTGCTGCATTTCAAAATTTAAGTTATTTTTTTTAACTACTCTTAGCAAAATATATAATTGTTATTACTTGAAAATTGTATCTTAAGTACAGTAGACAGTTAATTGATAATTGTGCGTATATGTACTTGTGTATCACCAGAGTCTGCCTTAATTCGTTTTCGAATATATTTTTTTTCTTTGTTTTATTCCAAATTTGAAATGATTATAATAAAGTGGAAAGACTGAATGGGGGGAGTTGTAGTTGTACAGTAGACTGCATACCACAACATATTCAGGTTGTCATGAATCTGCTGACATGATAATTAATTGATATTGTTTTAAGCTGTATATTTTTCATGTACTTTGTTTGTTAGCTAGTTAGCTCTGGAGTTTAATGATAGCATTAAGATTGGAAGGCTTAACAAGCTTAAAAATGTTAGAAAACTTAAAGATAATTGTGCTGATTTGAAGATCAATGGAAGATTCATTTTATATTTGTAATTCAGTTAATTTAACGAATGACCAAGTGAGCATGTGGAATGAAGTAACCATCCTGCCATATAATAGTAATAAATATCTTTTTTCTATGACATTTGAAGTTGATATTTGAGCTGCAAAATTGTTAAATCCTGAAGTTATTCTTCCTAAAATACTTTAAATATTTTCAAAATGTGGAAAATTTAAATGAATAAAAATAGTTACACAGAATTTATTTTGACCATTTCCCATAGTTACTTAAACTATTATTTTATAGTTATTTCTCGATGTATGTAGAGCTTGAAATGAGTGTTTTGAATTTATATTTTAGAAATTAAACAAGTTGGTAATGTAATTGATACTTGAAACCGTTGGTGCTTAGTGAAACTCCATAATTACAGAATTGAGGAAAAAACAATTGTACATTTCACAGATATTAACAGAAGTTTACATTTTGACAATTAAAGGTGATATGTTGATTTTCTCTACATTACTTGTGTGTAAAAAGCATCATAGTTGTATTTGTTGTTTTTATACCTGTATGTTTAATTTATGAAAAAAATGTTTTCATATGTATTATGGTTTTATGTTAAAGTAGGAGAAGCCTCTTCCACCATGACAGAGCCAATTATATTGATTGACCAAACAATTCCAAAGAAAAAATGCAACACAGACCCAGCCACCTATTGAGGTTACCCACGATGACTAATTCCTCCAACACCAGTTCCAGCCCGGACAATCATACACTACAGCCTCCCACAAAAACCTTCAACGAACCATGCTGGCCCTTCGGTCAGAACTACACCACCCAAACCACCTGCTCTTTCTTCTGACATACATAAGAACTATATATGAATAAATACATAAGAGTTGTGTAGTATAGTTAAACATCCTGAGATGAATGTTAAAAATACCTTACTAATTTGATTTGCTCTTTTCTGTCTGTATAATTTAGTTTTTGTTATGTGAAATGAAAAATAAATTTGGGAGGATACGATGGCCGAAAGGGGAGAGTGGAGTCCACTTTCAAAAATGACTTGTAATTTGTGTTTTTTGTATAAAACAAAATATTGTATTGATTTTCTATTTTTAAACAGTTATGCAGTAATACAAGTGAAATAAACTAAGTAAATTGCATTCCCTTTAACAATGGTAAATGTTGAATTATTAAATTATTGTGTAAGTGGAGAGTCTCTGGTATTCACCAATTTTTGTTTGATCTTCTTTTGTGTTTGTTGCACACCTTGGACCCAGTGGTTGTGAGTTCAGTATTGATGGAGAAGTAAATATGTAAGTTTTGCCGTAGTTATGCAATTTCCATTTTAATTTTATAAATTATGGCTTTGATGATAGTTGTATTATTACTAACACTATTAGTGTTAGTAAATATTACTATGATGATTTTCGAACACCATTTTGTTTTTAGATTTTGAAATTCATGCTTTATTTTAGATGACACATTATTTTTTGTTTTATTTTCCTTTTCATCACAAAATCCATTTGCATCAAAACTCCAAGACATGTAGCATGATAGCCAGTTTTTTTTATGCAGATCCATCTTAATGTAGTCCCTTTTTCTCTTCCTGTTGTTTGTTATTCATGTTTAGCTCATTTTAGTTTTGTCACATGTTTAAAATTGGCTTATTTATGTGGAAAATGTTTTATTTTTTATCACATCATGGTCTAAATAATGCCTGTGTACTGTAACTTATTTTTTAAGTCCATACTAGTACCAAGACTTATTTGAGTTGCTTTGGCATTTTTTATGTTTACACATAGAATTGTTTGCTTTTCAAAAGCAGATCCACTTCAACCAGCTGAGTACTCTACTTTCTTTTTGAGAATTTCACTCCTGAATTACATCAAACCTAAGATAATACATATTTTTTTAATTTAAGGTTAGAAAGTGCCTTTTGTATCACTTTGAATTATGGCTCTGTGTCAGTTAGAAAAAAGGTTATGGCATTTTATATTACCTGAGTGAATCCTAATTTAGCTCAAGTAAAGCAGTAGTTAAACCTGTGGCCAATGAAGCATGAAGAGCACTTAACACAGCACACATTTTTCTTTACATCATAATTTCTTTTAGGTTTTTGATGAAACAAACTGCAAATTGAATCATGAAAGACTAACTTTCATAACACAAAGTTAATCATTTTAATTTTAACAAATTTTGGGGATATTGTGAATGCCATATTGTTGTTTACATATGGAAATGGCACATGTAGACATAATTACATGCAGGTCGTTACGTACAGCAGCCTTTTAACCATTTGAAATTTATCAGTCATACAGATTAAAATTGGCTTTTCAGTAAATTATCATGTTAATATAAACCTGTTTTATTACTATTTGAAAACAAAAAGATATTTGGGTGAACAATTCAGAAACATGTCTGAATTTGTGTACCAGAGGGTCTACTATGTTCTTTTCAGTAACATGGACAAATAGTTGCAGAGATTGGAACATTTTAACAGTGTAAAAGTGATTAATAAGTGCAGTCAGTTCAAGGACTATTTATATGTATGGTCATAACTTGTTGGGTGGAGAGCATGATAATACCAATCACATCCAGCTGGCAGATTAAGCCGACCCTGTCTTAAACATATTTTGAGAACTTATGATTGTAGATTATGGAATATATGTGCAACTGATAAGGCTTTAGATTCTGTTTCATTAAATTATTAAGTAGGTAACTCTAGTTTTATCAGTGTAAAAGTTCAGTTCACTATCATAGGATTGGGGAAATGATTAATTGACATGAAACAAAATATTGTTGTTCTCTAAATTAAATTTTATTGATTTGAAACATCTAAATAAGATTACTCCGATAGTTTGTGTTTATACAGTATTATCCTGCTAATAACAAACGTGTACATGAACAAAAATTGACTTCAGAAAATTTTATATGCCAGGTTTTTAATGACCATTAGGTAGACTGAAGGGCAGAGAGAAACTTGTCTACCATTGTTGTTTCAAAATTTTATTATTATAAATTGTGAGATAGACTTGTTGTGCTTACAAATCCCGTAGTGCCTTACAACTGTCTACTACAAACTGTGAAAGGGGAAGATACCACAATAAAGAAAGATCGTTTAACTACAAAACAGGAATGGTAACTGAATACAGCATAATGGTATGAGTATTTGAGACAGTTCATCATGTGTACTCGTATTCAACTCTGCTGTGGCTGAATGTTGAGAAGAATACCAGATGATCTGTTGTGGTTAATGTGCTGAATGTTGAGAAGAATACCATATGCTCTGTTGTGGTTAATGAGCTGAATGTTGAGAAGAATACCAGATGATCTGTTGTGGTTAATGTGCTGAATGTTGAGAAGAATACCAGATGCTCTGTTGTGATGGAGTTTGTAGTTCACCTGAATAGACTAATGTCCCCTGGTTGGACAGGGTATATCTACAGACTTACAACTCTAAACTTCAACCTTTTGTTTTCCTTATACTACACTTTCTTGGAAGCTTCTCAGATTCAACATCTTCATTGATGACGAGCTGGAACCATTGTTAGCATATTAGGTAGGTTCGATTGTTGGCTTCTACAATCATCCCTGTTGCTGTTGGCATCTCGAATTTTATCGGCTCCTACAGAAAGTCATCATTCCACCCCTCTTTGAGGATCCTTACCCCAGACATTAGCCCTCAGTACATTGGTACCCAGTATAGATTCTGTCCTTATCCACATGTTCCAGTGCTCGATTGGATTGTTGCCAGTGAAATCATTGTTTATTGTATGCCTTAAAGGTCTGTGGGGCTAGACTCAAAGTACTTCTGGATGTGTGGTACCCTTACCCATGGAAACAGGAGCACTACAGGTCCTTGAATCAGATTTAATCATTCAATTTGCATCTTCACCACTATTATCCATCCAATCTGTAGGATTTCTGCCTCCCCTAGATCCTCGTAAATTGGAACTTAATTCTAGGGCTATCAGAGTTTGGCTGATCTGGGGATAGTGAGAGAATTGTGCTCATTCTTCCAGTTTTATTTCTGTCAGTTGTTTGGCCTGAGAAGACAGGAGAATGGTGTTCAGTCATCAATCTTTTTTGTCTATATCAATGCCTACATTTTCCAAGGATCATAGGGTACTCATTCATCAATCTGAGTTGACATTTTTTACTGGGATTGTGGATGTCCATGTTCATTGTAGTTGACTCCTATCTGCACATTGCCATAGTGGTGGTGTCTCACCATTATCACCATTTTTTGTGCACAAAAGTCAGGTACTGCAGTTCAGGGATTTTACCTTTGGACTAGCATAAACCTCACATGGGTTTTTTCTCATCACCTCCATTCCATAGCTCTGTGCACACACTATTCCTTAGTCGACTGGTTACTGCTGGCACCATCTTGTCAATTATCAGAAAAGCTCACCCCAATTCTACTTTCAGAAGCCAACAAGGTGGCTTCATTCTCAGACCTGAGACATCTATTCTTGCTACATTTCAATATGTCATCAGTCTACATATTTTATATTTCGTCATGTCTCTCAGTCTGGCTCAGACAACTTGCATCCGGCTCCACACTATAGAACAGGAAACCCGACTCTTACTCACCTCTCCTTCTTCCACTGCATGGATAGTTTTTCTCTTCTGGGAATGTGGGCTCACTTGAATCCCTCATGCCTTTAGGACAAGAGCAAGAGTGATCTTTTTAATGGTCTTTATGCGACCAAGGGATCATAAACCTTGATTTCCCCAGTTTCCTTACTCAGGATCATTCTTCAATCTTGAGTGGTTGTTAAGTCAGGACACTACTAAGATATGGGTTCCTCTGCTCTCCCCTTTATCCAGAGTTGCATCTTTTCATGAATGCCTTGCTTCATGGATGGGGTGCATGTACCAACAGTCATGAATTCCAGGGTCTATGCATGGACTTCGAAGTTTCCGTACACATTGTTTTAGCCCTTCTTGCTTTTCCCAAGGCAATGCCTCATTATCTGGGCTTATTATGGGGAAAATCGTCAGGCTTCTCTATGACAAGCCCAAGGTGATTTCTTCTGTTTCATCGAGGAGGCTTGATGCAGGGCTTCTTGTTTTGAATCTTGGATCTCCTTTCTCAGGATCACACCT